ATTAGTTCAATCAACTCCAAGTAGAACGTCTCAGAGTTTATCACGTGTGTAACAAGTAGGAGAAGCCATTATCAGTGGAGCGCCGATTCGAAATTATAATTTTTATATTTTGTACTGATTAAGGCTAAATTCATTATATCACCAGGAATTTTAGGTATAGACAATGATCCATTGATTGCTGACCGGTCTTTTCCTTTAACTGAGTTTGAACTTATATTAGACATGCACTGGCTTGAAAATTATATGCCATTTCTGTAACTTCTCTTGTACGCATACATCTTATTTGAGGTGTGAAACAGAGCAAAAGTGTATTCTCAAGGTCTCCTTTTTACTGTCTCTAGTTACATTGCAATTACTCATGCCTGAATCAACACCCACACACACACACACACACACACACACACACACACACACACACACACACACACACACACACACACACACACACACACACACACACACACACACACACACACACACACACACACACACACACACACTGTAGTTTAGTCCATTCTCTTTGTGTACCTGTCCTGCTCACAGTATTTAATTATGATCAATTAGATCATTATAACTATCACAATAATTGTCATGATCATGGTGCTGATGACAGGCTTGATTGCACATTCCATTCACCTGCCTAGCTCCGCCCAGTTTCTTGTTACCACTCATCTGTTTCACCTACACCAGTCTCTATTTAACCTGCTTTCTTCCTCTCATCAGTGCCACATTATTTGAGCCCTTGGTGAGTTTTCTAGCTGATATTATTGTTTCTGATTATCTGGTCCTGACCTGTTCTGCCTCTCAACAACTGAGCCTGCCTGTTCCGCTTAACATGAAGACGACCAATATCTTGCAGTAGCCGCTTGCATTTTTGATTAGTTTTTCTCTGACATGCATTTTTCTCCTGTGCTTGCTGAATTAGGCAAGTTATAGAAGTTAACTGTGAAGGATCAAAGCCGTATAGCTGAAGATCGTATAAGTCCGCTGGGTAGAAAGAGCTATCAAGGCGGAAGAGGGGCTGGCTGGGAGGAGGACAGCTTTACATCGGAGAAACAAGTCAGTGAGACAGAGCAGGAAGAGGCAGAAGCTGGCTGAAGGTAGTGTCTAGAGCAGGGGTGGGCAATTCTGGTTTCTGAGTGCCAGTAGCCTGCAACTTTTAAATATGCATTTGGTTAAACACACCTGAATCAACTAATTAGATCACTGAAAGCAGAGTTGGGCAGAGTTTCCTTGTACACCGGCCCACTATCCGCCCCCGCTCCACGAAAAAAAAGAAAAACAATACGAATACACATTGTGGATTAACCCATCTATCTTCAAGCATCACTAGACAACCATCACCAAGACTTGTATAATGTGATTTTACTGGCTTTAGTTATTAACACGGACCCGACAGTGACTGCTGCTGTGTAAAGTCCACATTTGCATGAAGCCAGCCAGACACCCACTCACACATACTAGGTCTACAAAACAGAGTGTTCTTCTGATAAGGAAATTGATCAAGTCACGGGACAGAATGCTCCTCTGAGTGAATCACAGAACAGAGTGCTCTTCTGATAACTGTGATTTAGCCTTGCACAAACATCAGTAATTTTCCACCACCGTTGCATGACAGTTTGTAGTAAACAAGTGAAGCATCTCATTTCCTCAATGTTTTATATGCACACACATTCACTTTATAATCATCATTGAATAAACCTTACAAACATATTAAAATGGCTTATTTTAAAGCCCCTCACAAACATCTTAAACAACTTATCTCATACTTGGTAAATATTTTCTGTAATGTCCATTTTGATTATGATACTTTCATGTCTCCCTAATTCTATACTTAATAATACAATCTCAGTGTTTATAAGACAACAGGATTAAAGGATTTATGGATTTGATGCTTGAATCGGTGATCAACAGATACTGATATTTAGCAGATACTGATTTTTATGATTTGCCATAAAACAAACGCTGTGGCAAATCACCTGTTCGAGATGGTTTGACTTCAATGTTCATAAGTTTTTCTGGAAAGACAAAATCATTCAAAGACTTAGATTATGTTGAAAATTATAATTTAATGGCAGCTATGAAACAAGGACTCATTACATTATTAAAAACCAAGAAAAGACTAAAGATATTGATAATCCAAGGCCATTAACTTTATCGAACATAGATTACAAACTATTCACCATTATATTCTCCAATCGACTGGAAACTGATTTGGAACAGATAGTGTGTGAAACCCAATCAAGATTAATTAAGGATTGGTCATAGTATAAGGTTGGTACTAGACTTTTGTTTTTTAAAGATAAAGGCTTTGTTTGTTTTGTTTTTGGTTCTACAGAGCTTTTGACTCTATAGAATATCCCTCAACTCTTTAGAATATCTTGGCTTTGGTGAAAGGTTTATAAAAATGATTAATATACAAGGATATTAATAGTTTAGTCCCAGCTTTTATTTTCACGCAGAAAACTCTCTTTTTTGCCAGCAAACACAGTGAAAAACTATAATGAATGAATATTATAAACACGCCTTGTTTCTAAAAAATAGCCAAAATATAGAGCCATTGAATGTGTTTAGTTATCCTCTGACGATGACTCAGCTGATATTATTATTTTCCTGAAAGATGAAAAAAGGATCCCTTTAGATATCAAAAAGAGTTTTTCTACAGTTTCTGGATTATACATTTATAAAAATGTGAGTTAATGTCAACGAGTTAACAATTATATGGGATTCCAGTGAAAGAACAAATTAAATATTTAGGCATAACAAAGGATTAGAAGGCAGAAGAAGATTTGAGCATATTGCCTGTCATAAAATAAAGTAAATGCATTATTAATTCCTGGTAACAAAAAGGTATGCCCATTTTTGGAATAATTTTAATCACCAAAATGGAGGCACTCTCTTGATAAAGATATACAGCTTTTTTTGCTCAGTTGGGCATTTCAATTTACTTATTTCTTTGCGCAAGAGCATTAAACTTCTGAAAAGAACTGAAAGTAATCAAAAGGCCCTGTGGTGCCTGTGCATTGATGTTTTACTTTTATCTGCTGGTAAAGATTCTTAGTCATCCAGGTCATGGTCATTCCAAAAAAGTTAAAAAACAAACCACTGGACTTTGTTTTCAAAGCAGAGCAGCTGTGGCTACAGTATAGCTTTCCATGATGGTGGGTGAGTGGCAAGCATGTACAGTATGTGTGTATTGAGGTGGGTTTGTGTGAATGGGTGTGAACGCGTAGATTCAAGTTTTGCATGGTATCTCCTAGGGATGGGAATCGAAAACTGGTTCCTGTTCCAATTCCATGGCACCATTTGGCAGCTCGCTTGACGATTCTCTTAACGATTCCAGGCAGCACCCGAGCCTAGGGCTGTGGGCAGCATGACTTACGTCACGTTTTTTACGCAAGTTACGCACACGGCATTCAGTAAGCAAGTCCGACGTGACCAGGTGTATGTCTAGAAAAGCAAAACAAAAAAAATGGCACACCATCGGTTAAACCGATTTAAAATTTGGCTTCATTTTAAGCAAGAGAAAGATGGCAACAAGGCGCTTTACAATCATTGCAAAGTGGCAATAACATCGGTGGGTGGAAATACATCCAACATGCAGAAACACCTGCACACACAACATGGCATACATTTTAATGAATGCCTTGTTTTTGATGCTTTCTGGACAGAAGTTAAAGTTATGACCAGCATGAAAGGCAACTCTGGTGGTAAATCAGTAAATCATATGCCATTTCTGGAAATAAACCCATTTCCTACCTCTCTTTGGGGTTATTAAGGGTGTGTGCCTTTCTCCTTAATCCAGCCCTTCATTGCTAGCATGTTAAATTAGAACTACAGGTATCTGGATTCTTACATGAGTCTAGCTATTGCAATGGATATAACAAAACATGCTACGCAGTACAGGGAGCAAGAGAAAGGTAATACTCATTTATTTAAACCAGGGGGAGATGAGTTTATTTCCCATAATTGTACAGTTGGATTTAGATGACTGTGACGAGAATCGATAAAGAGAATCGTTCAGGAAACGAATCGTTTAACAGAATTGATAAGGGAATCTGAATCCCTAAAATCTTATCAATTCCCAACCCTAGTATTGCCATTAAATCTCTACTACACTCCCGTACTGTAATGTTAATGTCTCACCTTATTTCTCCTAGTGAACATTAGGTGGAAGACAGGATAAACATTGGAGACAAAATAAAAACTAACGGCTGAGATGAGAAACTCAAATTTGTCAACTGAGGTACAGAAGAGAAAACTTGAAGCAGTAAAATTTTCCTCTGGGCAGTTCTGATGTGAAGCAAAGCTGGAGTTGGGAGCTGAATGACCATAGCCCCCTCTAGCGGTGAAATAAAATTATCACACAGCAACAGTTTTTTTTTATTATTATTTTAACATTAAAGGTTAGTAGAACTTGATTTTAAATACCAGATAATATCTGTTTTTTGTCTATTCTGTACAGGGGCAAAAAGTAAAGCCTAGGCACATTTTCAACCTGGAAGACGTCCAAGTCTTAACTGCACACCTAGACCCCCATGTCACCCGTATCTACCTCCGCTAGTCTTCTCCCTAATGCAGGTCAAGTTCCTGCCTCCAACCAGCAAAGCACCTTTACCTGCTTCACTGTCCTGGTCTACCTCCTAGTCAGTTCAGCTCCCTTCAATGTTCCAGTCCAACAACAGTGCTCAGTGTTTAGCATAAACTGCCATTATCAGCAATGCTCAACTCTGTCTTCTGCTGCTTTCTGAACGGCAACAACATTTATATTAATTCTTGTTAGTAAACTATCCAGTTGCCTCATTGAACAGTTATTATTATTATTCTCATTATTACTGTTAATCTAGAAGTAAAATAAAGTATATGATGAGTTAAGGATGGTAATGTCCATACATTTCTATAACCAAAACTAGTTCCAATATTGTTGAGCCAGTGCCACCATAAGTCAAATGGGTATGATGGCAAATGTACACAGGGACTTAGTGGTTTTCAGGATATGCACTCTTGTTTCTCTTTAGATTGCATAAATATTTGTGCCTTTTACTAAAAATTTCCATGCAAGCGAACAACAAGGTTATCCTAAATTTGTGATGCCCTACTGAGAGGTAGGGTGGGATCCATGTCTAATAATAAAGACCTTTATTCATTTACTGGAGTTCTAATGCTTGTTTTTGTTCTGAATCAAGCTGTGATAGATGATTAGGCTTTTCTTTGATCTTAATACTCAAATTAGGTCAATCATAAATGAGGTTAAAGTTCACTCGTTTCTAGTCCCTAATTTGTTAAAGTTACTAAAGTTTTATGCATAGTCATTGCTCCTGAAATGTTGCCCAATGTCAGCAATTCTTTGGTCAGAACAGTTTCTCCAAGGCTCTGCCCCCTCTATGAAAATCATCCATAAATTCATTTTTAAAGTTGGTTTTGACAAATGACATAAAAAATGTAGTTTTTTTACTCATGATTCTTTATGGATGGTAACGTCCACACATTTCTGTAAACAAAACTAGTTCCAATAGTGTTGAGCCAGTGCCACCATAAGTCAAATGGTTTTGATGGCGAATGTCTACAGGGACTTAGAGGTTTTTCAGGCATATGTATTCTTGTTTCTCTTCTTATCGCATAAATCTTTCCCCTTTTACTGAAGATTACTATGCAGGGGGACAACAAGAGTGATGCTAAATTTTATTCTGTCTCAGTCCAAAAACACGACTGAGGTTAAGTGGCATCTCTAAATGGTTGATAGGTGTGACAGTGTGTGTGTTCATGGTTGTATATCCTGGTCTCTCTGTGTTACCCTGCAACAAACTGGCAACCTGTACAGGGTGTACCCCGCCTCGCGCCCATAGACTGCTGGAGATGAGCACCAGCCACTGTAACCATGACAGAATAAGGGGGAGAAGATGGATGTAAGCAGTATTTAAAATTTACATAGGGCCTTCCTATTTGACACAAAACAGAATAGGTATATCAATCCCGTACAAGTAATATTTAGTGGGGTTGGTGGCAAGTGTAGTATTATAAAAATATAATGAATGTGACATTCCAGCTACTATTTCAATAAAAAAACAACATAATTAGCACAACATTAGGACAACTTTCTTTGTTTGAAGCATTTTCAATCGTCTCTCCTCACTATACAATCCTGCAACTCGGTGGAAACATATGAGGTGCCCCCAGGGACATAAATCAGAATTAACTTGCATATACACATATTAAATTACACTCTTCCATATAATATACTTAAAACCTCACACAAACACTAGTAAAAAGCTCTCACATAAACTAGTGAAAACATTTACCTCTTATATAATCTACTCAAAAGCTCTCATACAAAGTAGTGAGAACTGTTCATATAAACTGGTGAAAAGCTTTACCTTTCATACACACTACTAGAAAGCTTTCATATACACTATTAAAAAGCTCTCATATACACTACTAGAACACTCTCATATACACTATTAGAAAGCTCTCATATACACTATTAGAACGCTCTCATATACACTATTAGAACGCTCTCATATACACTATTAGAACGCTCTCATATACACTATTAGAACGCTCTCATATACACTATTAGAAAGCTCTCATATACACTACTAGAATGCTCTCATATACACTATTAGAACGCTCTCATATACACTATTAGAAAGCTCTCATATACACTACTAGAATGCTCTCATATACACTATTAGAACGCTCTCATATACACTATTAGAAAGCTCTCATATACACTATTAGAACGCTCTCATATACACTATTAGAAAGCTCTCATATACACTATTAGAACGCTCTCATATACACTATTAGAAAGCTCTCATATACACTTTTAGAACGCTCTAATATACACTATTAGAAAGCTCTCATATACACTATTAGAAAGCTCTCATATACACTATTAGAAAGCTCTCATATACACTATTAGAACGCTCTCATATACACTATTAGAACGCTCTCATATACACTCTTAGAAAGCTCTCATATACACTATTAGAACGCTCTCATATACACTATTAGAAAGCTCTCATATACACTATTAGAACGCTCTCATATACACTATTAGAAAGCTCTCATACACACTATTAGAAAGCTAAAATATATGGTCCCCCTCCTTTAATTTAGGCAAACATTGCTCAAATATCACCGAATCCAGATGGTTTGTTGTTGATGAAGAGAGGAATAAACACAGTTTAAGATTTGCAGCTAAATTAATTTGTTTCCATATTATGGAACTGCTATCAGGCACTTCCCATCATCTTATATCAGTAATAAAAAATTATAAATACAAATTTGGTATTTGGTGACTTGACTTTTATTTCTGTCAGGCTGAAGTGAAAAAACTTGGAAAGAGACTGATTCTCTTGGCGTTTAAAATAACAACACAAAACAGCATAAGAAAACCGCATTTATTTTTTTTATTTTACAATTTTGTAAACAACAGCGGCTGATTAAACTAAATGTCTCAACCTTGTATAATTTTACGACTTTTTATTTAACCAAGAAATGATCCGAAAGGCCTGGGAAATGATCAGATCCGCTTATGTGGCTGCAATGCGCGGCGCGCTCCCGACACAGGTGGAACAGATTTTCACATGGGAACAGAATTTCGCACAACAGCGGAAAAGGATCTCTGTTGAAGCAAAAACATAAAAAATAAAGTTGAGTAATGCCCATGCTTCTGTGAGTTGTTCAGTGGAAAGCTGAGCAATAGTCAATAATTTTATTTGATAAAATTTCGGCCGGAGATTGCACAAAATGTACGGAACTAACCAGAATGACCTCTGTTTAAAACAACTCCCGGTTTGATGACATTCCTTCCTGTTTCACTGAAATGCCTTCCGTTTCAACTGAAATCTGCAAATAGATTTTCACTAGTGTATATGAAAGCTTTTTAGTAGTGTATATGAGAGCGTTCTAATAGTGTATATGAGAGCTTTCTAGTAGTGTATATGAGAGCATTCTAGTAGTGTATATGAGAGCGTTCTAATAGTGTATATGAGAGCGTTCTAATAGTGTATATGAGAGCGTTCTAATAGTGTATATGAGAGCTTTCTGATAGTGTATATGAGAGTGTTCTAGTAGTGTATATGAGAACTTTTTAATAGTGTATATGAAAGCTTTCTAGTAGTGTGTATGAAAGGTAAAGCTTTTCACCAGTTTATATGAACAGTTCTCACTACTTTGTATGAGAGCTTTTGAGTAGATTATATAAGAGGTAAATGTTTTCACTAGTTTATGTGAGAGCTTTTTACTAGTGTTTGTGTGAGGTTTTCAGTATATTATATGGAAGAGTGTAATTTAATATGTGTATATGCAAGTTAATTCTGATTTATGTCCCTGGGGGCACCTCATAAAAACATGGCTGGCATTGTTTACCACTGGTTACTTTGATTATTTTATTGACCTTTATGTGAATATCCCCTCCCTTTCCCTCCTCTGTTTGCTTTGACTTCCTGTTTCAGGCAGCGCAAAATACATCAGTACTTTGTGGTTTAGATGTTCCTCAGCTATATTTGTCCATAAATCGTAATGAAACAAACCTGTTACATACTACAAGCCTTGTAGTCTATGTACATATGATATCCTCAAGACACATATGATGTCCTCAAGACACATATGATGTCCTCAAGACATCATATGTGGAAGAAGTTTCTAGAGATTCCTTCTTTAATCTCCAGAATAAATAGAAATATCCTGTCTAGGGTTCATGCTGACAAACTAGTCCATGCATTTGTTACAGTACTTCAAAATTGGACTATTGTAATTCTTTACTATCAGGAAGTCCACAAACTGTAAGTTTGTAAAATTCTGCAGCCAGAATTCTGATGAAATTAAAAAGAGAGATCATATATGTCATATATTAGCTTCCCTTCATTGACCTCATATTAAATCCAAAATATAACCTAAAATCCTCCTTCTCACATATAAAGTCCTAAATGACCAAGATTCATCTTATTTCAGAGACCTGATTGTTCCTAATTCTTCGTAGCAATTCACTCTCAATCTGAAAGTTTACTAGTTGTTCCTAAAATTTCTAAAATAATTTCTAGGACGGGAGTCAAGTTGGACTCGATGCTCGTCTGCTAAGCAGTTTTAGTTTGTTTCATTTTTCAGTCATTTTAGTCATATATGTTACATTATCTCCTTTCGCATCTTTTAAATTTGTTTTTACAACTTTATTTATACAGGCAAGTCATTAAGAACAAGTTCTTATCTTGAAGGATGAAATTGAAATTAGTCTATCCAGTTCCAGAATATTTTGCAAAGCGTTCCAGTCATGAACGGCAGCAGATTAAAAAGAAGAAAGACCAAAAGGTTGGTTTCGGGAATAAGTCATTGTAGATATAGTGAGGACTGGGTGATATAATTGACAGGCTGTGGCTGCAGCTGGTGACTTCAATAAGGTGGTGAGCGGCCGAGAAGGGTTTTGCAAATAAAGATGATCTAGTGAATTTTGCATCGATTGTGAAGGGAGGGCCAGTTGACAGATGAATACAAAATGAATTTAATGCATAAAATGCTATAATTACGTTTCTAATTGACACAGCATCTGTGTTTGCAGGCTATATGGGTAACAGAATTAGTCATGCTATTGTTTATCTCAGGATTCCTCTCTTTCCTTTTTGTGAAATCTCCTAGGGATTCACCTTTCTAAAGTCATTAGCCTCGACATGGGCTTCCCTCAGGGCTGTGTCCTGAGCCTGTCCTTTACACTCTCACATTTCCGCTTCCTGTACATGAACATCAGTGAGGACCCAATCTGGGGACTTCACATTGCAGGGCTGGTGAAGAGGACCCAGAACAGGACCGATGACATTTCAGTGCATGCTGTCACATAATTTATTATATTACACTACAATATTAAAAAAAAGTGCAATATTTTGTCAGTATAAAAACTTCTACCTCCTTCATGTCATGCTTTTTTGTTATTATCTTTGTTATGTCTAGGATTTGTTCGTACATTAGTTTTGCATTTATATTTACATTTCTTTTACATATTTTCTATATTTTTTACTAAACATTATTTGTCCTTTCTATGTTTATTACCTGTTTATAATCCATACTTGCACTGAATGTGGATACTTTTCAATTGCATTGTGCAACTTACTCTATGACCCCAAACGGAGGGCAACAGTGTGACACACAGAGTTTAATAATGGTTCAGGAGCATGTAGGACTTTGGATCTGTCAAATTGGTTAAAATTAAACATTAAAAGAACCCTAACCCTCTAACTCAAAGGCCAACTCCAGAAATGGGGTTTTCCCACATTTCAGAACACAACACAAGTTAGAACTTTTTCCTGATGAAATAATCAGCAACTTAAAAGTATAACTACTGGCAACTCATTTAATAATGTTAAAGATTAAAACTACTGTGGTTTCTGAACTGATTGAAGTTATTGTTCTTATATCAAAAATTACAATTTTCAGGTTCACACAAATGAAATAAATTTTCAGCCCAAAAAAACAGAAGTTAGATGTAAAGTTTTCAAAGTATATTCAGTCAGGTAGAAAAGATTCAAGAGTAACTGTAATAAAGAGGATATTTTTTCTAAAAGTTTCTTGTGCCAGAAAAATTATTTCTTAAAACCCTAATAGATATGAAGGTAGATTTGTGTCTTTACTATACAGAGAAAAGCAAGACTTGAAACCCCAAACTGGGATTAGGCTGTTTCTAATCTGGAAGACTTTTTCGCTGTGGAAAGTCAAAA